CCCCCCACCCCTACAAGCAATCCCTTCCTTTCTGGCCTGAGCCACCCATGGGGGCCTGGGCCCTGCCTGTCCATGGGGGCCAACTCGAAGAGCCCGTGGTTTCATGACCCACCTGGGCAACTTGACAAGACCTCATCTCTACAACAAAGTAAAAAAAAAAAAAAAATTAGCCGGGCGTGGTAGCACGCGCCTGTAGTTCCAGCTACTCAGAAGGCTGAGGTGGAAGGAATGCCGGAGCCCAGCAGGTCGAGGTTGCAGTAGCCGGAAGCAGCCACTGCACTCCAGTTTGGGTGAGAGTGAGACTCCAACAAAAAAAAAAAAAAAAAATTCGTAGTTGAACACAAAGAGTACCAGTCTACTACCAGGGGGAGGTGAGGGTCACCTAGAAGCCCAAACTTCGCCTACATGCAGCATTTTTTTTTTTTTTTTTTTTTTGAGTTAGAGTGTCACTCTGTAAACCCAGGCTGGAAAGCAGTGGCACGCTCACAGCTACTGCAGCCTCACCCTGCTGGGCTCAGGCAATCCTTCTGCCTCAGCCTCCCAAGCAGCTAGAACTACAAGTGCACACCACCACACCAAGCTAATTTTTTTGATTTATTGTAGAGACTGGGTCTTGCAAAGTTGCCCAGTCTGGTCTTGAACTCCTGGATTTAGACAATTCTCTCACCTCCACCTCCTAAAATGCTGGGATTACAGGTGTGAGCCACTGTGCCCGGCGAATGCAGCCTATTTATGTAGTAACTCCTCACTTGTACCCCACAACTCTATAATAAATAAATAAGTTTTAAAAATAATCCAGGCGCAGTGGCCGCAAATTGCATTTCAGTATCTATCATCAGTAGTCCACCTCAGACCTGAATTTTTTATGGGTCATTAACAAGATCCTAAAGCCAAAAAGAAATTCCTCAACCCTGAAGCCAAGACCTCATCTCACCCATGCCCATTCATTCACCACACTTCCATTTCAAATCTGACTTCAAACTGGGAGCACCCAAGAGAATAAAGTCCACTCACCTCCACGGACTGGGAAGGCATCTTCAGTTTGGTGAGCTTGGCTCTGGCAGGCACTTTCAGGTCGGTTTTCTCAAAGTTCTGCTGTTGGTAGTCCTCTGGCAGCGGCTTCAGTTCGGGAGACTCACTGGGAGCCTGGTCTTGACCATCCATGGGCCGGACATAAGCAGTAGGCTTCTGCTGCATGGCCACACTTTTGGAGGGGAGGGAGGGAGGTGGAAACGTCTGAGAAGGTGGCTGGGGGGGGGCCACCAGACTGTCTTGCGACGTGTCCTTATCACGGATCTTTACCGGGAGGTCCTTGGGAGACTTGGTTGGACAGTAGCCCTTGTTGTTACTGTTGCTGCTATGCATCTTGCTGCTTCCCTGCATTCTAGGAAGGGTTTGCTGGCTGGAATGTAGAGGGGACAGAGGGGGCACCGGAGAAGGCAAGGAGGAGATTAAGGGAGATAGCGCCCTCTCTGGAACCAAGCCTGTCACTGAAGCACAAGGGTCTCCGCCTGCTCTTTGGTCACCTTTTTTGTGATGGCCAGAGCTATAGCTCTCCTGACCAAGGGGTTCTTGGGTCAGGTGCTGGCTGTCCGGTGGGCCGAAGCTTTTGGCATAGAGACTTGGCATCGGTTCCATTCTTGGCTGCGCCATCTTTGAATTGTGGCTAATGCTGCCCACAGGAAGTGGTCCGGACGTGGGAGTGTGGATGGACGAAGGGTGGCCACTAGTGTGGAAGGTGTTGGGTGGAAGGCTGACTCCCTTGTCAGGAAGCGCAGGATACTTGGGTTTCCCCAGTCTGTCTTCAGAAACGTCCATGTGGTGTGTATGGGACTTCGGGCTCAGGAACTCCTTTACTTCCTCATAATTTCCCAACATGTTCTGTAACCGGCTGGAGAGCTCATCACCTTTTGCTTTCTGGAAAAAGATAGCAGAATTAGAGAATGAAGGAAAAAAAAAAAACCTAAGGAAAACTATCACTTAATGATTTCTGTTACATTAAGGGAAAAAAATCCTCCATTTAATGTGTAACACACAGAATTTAAGTGCGCAGTTTTAACTTAACTCCCCTGATGGCAAGTCTTCCATGGACACATACTACTAATTACAAAAGAAAACTACAAACTTCTGTCACTCTGACTTACCACCTTCAGAGAATTTTCGTATTTTGTTTTCAAAAACAATCTCCGGAATAATTTATCTCATTTTCACAGTTGTGACCCTTATACAAACTCAATTACATAGACTCATTTCATCAGAGATCAATCAGATGTTCACCTTCTAGCAGTCAATACCTTGTAAGGCTCTCCAAAAAGGGGGATCTTTTCAGGAAACTCCTCTTTCTCTTGGTGAGCTTCCTGGTTGCGTCTTTCCTTCTCTCTAATTCGAAGCAGGTTTCTGTCATCATTGTATAAACTGTTTCAGATGCCGCAAAAGAACAAAAACAATAAAATTTATCTATGTGGACCCAAGTTTTCTTGTGTATACTTACATACATGTATAGAGGGAGGCAGGGACAGTCTAGGAAGAGGCGATGACAAGGGATGTGATTTAAAGAAAGAGTGAGTCCCTTAGCCCACTCCTAGATGAAGGCTGCAGGCAGTTGGCCATGAACCTCCATCCTCAGGTCCTAGCTCCAGAAACCCAGACATTCACTCCGGGCTACAGTCTCAGCTATGGCTCAGGCCTGACTCCAAACTGAACATTCTTTTATAGGCAGTGTGGAACTGAGGTGAGATTAACGACATTTTTACTCTCAGCTTGCAAAATAGGGGGTAGAGATAGCAGCTTTTCATCTGAAGGAGTCAGCAGGATGTGAACTTTCAAAATGCTGTTTTCCTGGATCAGTTTCGTAGATTTGGGAAGATTAAAATCAAAAGGCTTATTTCATAATTAAAAGATTACCAGGCACCCAAAACAGTATTTACTTTATTCTCAGCCTGTTCTACTGGGAGTGTCTTGGCATGTAAATACCACCCCCCCACAAATGACGTTTATTTCTCATTTCAAACGTCAGGGATGAGAAAATTCAATTACAGATGTCAGCTCTACCTACTGAGACACCTCTGCTTAACCACGTAAGAATGTCCCCTAAATCATCAGCCCTGGCACCAAAGGGGTTAAAACGCACTCCCTGAGAAACATCCCAGAGATGGAGAGGAAAGACTCATTCAGCATCAGAAACTGGCAGTTTCCCTGGCTGTCAGCCGCACTGGTCACTCCGACATTCACATGTGGTGCCTAATAAATGCTTAAAATAAGAGCCATCCCATGACTTTTGTCTTCATAGATTTGCTTCTGTGAAATCTATTGACTCACTTCCCCAATGCCATTTGAACAGACAGGAAAATACCCAATTCTCTAGCCAAAGTTGTGGGTGCCGTTAAGTTCTAGCCCTGAAGCCAGGCACTCTCCCCACCTCTTCCCTGGCTTCCTTCCTCTCTCCTGGCTGCTCTTTCTTCCTCAACAAGAGCCTCCTGGTCTCCCTGCCTCGCCACATCTTCTCATTCTAATTCAGCCTTCTCATAAAAAGAAACCCAGACTAAAGCCACGGCCCTCATGTCACTACATGTATTTTAAAATAAGCAGTTGATGGCTATTGACTACTGTGGAGTAAGTGCTACATCATGGCTTTGGCATTCAAATCCCTCCATCATCTTGTACAGATCTACTCTCTAGAAATCATCCCAGTGTCCCCTGCTGGCCTGCCATAGGCATTCTACTTGACAGTCAAGTTCCCCAAACCTACCCAGCAAGGCAGCCTCTTCCTCCAAGCTCCACCCAACCCTCTCTACTGAAAGATAACCAATTCTTCCAGGAGCAGCTTCCCTAGTCAGTGTGACTCTTACCAACATCTCTGTATTCCAGTCACTCTGAACAACTCTTCAGTGACACCCTAGACTTTCATGCTTTCCTGAGAATCACAAATTTCCACTGCCTCTCTCTCCCACATACCCCACCCCACATCCCTAGCTTTCTGCTTCCAGTAAATCTCAGGAGTGATTCAAATGCCACTCACTGTAATATCCACAAAATGTGTGCTCACCTAACACATCGATTCTCTCTCTGCTCCCCCCTCCCCGCTAGGATAGGAACTCATCAAGCTAGAACCTCTTGAGATGTCTCTCTCTTGGTGATGAAGCATTGTACTTTGCATTACATATTTTTAGATTAAGAAACAACCACTATGCTTACAGTGTATTTTTTTAAAACCTACAATTCTTTTTCTAGACTTATGTCTGGAAGACATATGCAAAAACTATTTTTAAAAAGTATAACATCTAAAACTGATCTGCTGTTCTCACAGTCTTTCAATCCACGGGGGAGGGGGGCACACTAAACTACCTGAATAAATTTGCTAGGATGTGCTAGAGGAAAGTTTTGTTCAAAAAAAATTCCTAGATGATAGATATCACAATATCAGATTTCAAGAGAACTCTCATAACCATAAGTTTTATGCTAATCAACATACTTAAGAGGAGAAGAAATTAACTCAGAAACTGGCTGTGAGTCTTCTCTAAGTCTGAATCTCACGTGTTGGGACAGGTACACTCACTTCTGCTTGGCAGTAGCACAGTGGACTTGATGAACACATGAGAATTCCTTTCGGATTGTTTTATGATTTCGGTAGTTCCTCTTGTTGGTTCAAAAGATCATATACTATTAGCATATGACCATGGAAGCCAAGTAAGAGGGGCTAATCAGGAATTTTTTTTTCTTTAAACTGGTTTTACAACCACTTTGAGTCAGTTTGCAGGGAAGAGCTGGGCATCCAAGAATCCTCTGAGTGACTTGAATGTCCAAGTTTTATATCCCCAGTCTCCCCTGTGCACACACATACCGCGCAGCAGTCAGGACAGGCTGATGAACAAGTGGGGTCTTACCAGAAGCAGGGACTTAACTGTGCTTATTACTAAGGGAGCACTCTCTCTGATACTGTCAGTTTCAACAGTGGAGTCCTCAAAGCTGGTGAGTGCTCACAGCCTTGGGCTTTGCATCATAAGTGCTACCTCTGTCTCAGAGAGGGGAACTCCAAATGACAAAATTCTCAATTGAGGATCAAAACTGAGGGTGTGGCACCTGCACCTCAACTCACAGGCTACTCAGGGTCTTCATTCAATTTTCCCATCATTCCACATACATAATTATCCTTCAACAAAGTTACACTGGCTTAAAATTACTAAAACATTTTAAAATCAATCAGCTCAGCCTTACCTCAGCTTCAGTTGGGTTTCTCCACACTTCTAGATTTTCATTCCAAAATAATGAAAACTGCTACAGAAATAGCCAGAAGAACTCAATTAGGCCATTCTTTCACAAAATTCCTAACAGTGGCTTATTACTATGTGATTCTAAAATCAAGATGCTTCCCACAGGGAGGAAATCCTATTAAACTAAGGATCCTGGTTAATTAAGGTTTTGCTTCATTGGTTCCAAAAAATATTAAAAACTCACACCAAGATTTTATTGGCAGACACGTACTTCTAAGCCAATTCTGAGACTTTTTTTTTTTAATTTGTCATCAACCTTCAATGGAAAACTCTAAGTAGTGAGTTAAGAAAGACATCTTAAAGATCCCTAGGAGGATGAGTTTTATGAGACCCAGTCATAGTGAGAGAAATTCACTCTCCCCACACTGAGCTGCAAGCCCCCTTAGGATCTCACTCCCCAAAGCTCCTGGCAGGGCACAGGAAGGCTGCAGAAACAGGCAGTTCCCAGAACAGAGGGTGGTGCGTGCTCCAGTTCTAGGTGGGCACCTCTCTCCTTGCAGCTAACAGAGTACTGCCAATCACACTGGGCAGCCTTCTGGCTTGTTTGGCTTTTTGCTTGCTGCAAATCAGCAAAGGCTCAGGGAATGGTTTGCTACAAGTTCCTAGGCAACTTTTTTCACAAATATTTTTTCTTAATTCCATTTTGAGATCAGGGAAAATGTAAATCAATACACACACACACACACACACACACACACACACACACACACACACACACACGCCGGGTGCAGTGGCTCACGCCTGTAATTCCAACCCTTTGAGAGGCCAAGGCAAGAGGATTGCTCGAGTCCAGAGGTTCGAGACCAGCCTGGGCAACTTGGCGAGGTCGTGTCTCTATAATAAATCAAAACATATCTGGTTGTGGTGGCTCATGCCTGATGTTCCAGCTACTCAGGAAGCAGAAGGATTGCTTGAGCCCAGGAGGTCGAGGCTGTGGTAGCCATGATTGTATCACTGCACTCCTACCTGGGCAGCAGAATGAAACTCTGACACACACACACAAATTCGTAGCATGACACACACAAATTCGTAGCATGAGTAAATCTGTGTTCGGCCTACACAGATCATTGATTTTTAAGCCAACATGTAAATAAGGAAGGAATGGCTGGCAAAAAAAATTTAAATAAGGGAATTTTAGGAAGCAGCAAATGTCTTCCATGATTCACAAACTCTGTAATTAGCTTTGAATAATCACAAGTTAACTATCACTTTAATTAAAGGTAGCTTTTGGGGGGGGTCCTATGTTAAGGAAAAACGCCTTTTCATTCTCATACACACCCAGGATAACCTCCTCCCATTATCCGTCTGGCCAGACTTTCTCACTGATCCAAACAGTGAGTAACAAGTACTCCTTGGCTGATTTCTACATAGCCCTGTGCATTAGCTAAGAGGTTCTGAAACTTGACTGAGTCAGAATCACCTAGAGGGCCTGTCAAAACACAGATCCAGAGACATACAGAGTTTCAGGTTGGTATATCTGAGGCAGTGCCTGAGATCTGTATGCTGAACACATTTTCAGCCCTGCAGGGTATGCGAGAGCACATACTTTCGGAGCTCACCACAAAACAAAAGCGACTAGGCACAGTGGTGCATGCCTATAGCCCCAGCACTTTGGGAGGCCAAGGCGAGAGGACTGCTTGAGCCCAGGAGTTTGAGACCAGCTTGGACAATATAGTGAGACTCCATCTCTACAAAAAAATAATCAAAAGACTAGTTGGGCACTGGTGTGTGGCTGTGGTCCCAGCTACTCCAGAGGCTGAGGCAAAAGGATCACCTGAGCCAAGGAGAGCGAGGCTGTGGTGAGCTGTGATCATGCCACTGCACTCCAGCCTGGGCCACAGAGTAAGACTCTGACTCAAACAAAACAAAACAAAAACAAAAGCAACAAGGCCAGCAACAGCAGCAGCCTAGCCAGGAATGGCACCACTTAGCACCTGCTACTCAGTCAGCACTGATGGAGGTGTGTCACCTCAGTCTACTGCTTAAACTTCACAAGAGTGGGATTGTTAACCTCACTTTCCAAGTGAAAAAGCTCAGAGACTGACTTGCTAATAAATGGTAGACCCGAACATTCAAATGCCCAGCAACAAAGCTTATGTTCTCAATCACAGTGCGGCCAGCAAAGCTTGCTGGCTGCCTTAAGCAG